TTTGGAGTTCGCGTGTCTCTCTCTCTCTCCCGTCATGGTCGCGTGGGTTTTTCTCCGGGTCCTCCGGTTTTCCACCCCACATTTAGAATAAACGTCGCGCGTTTAGAGTACCCGGCTGCTCGAAGTTTCCACGTGATGATACGCCACTTCGTTGAGCTATCATTTGCGAAAGCCAGGTCGCTAATGAAAAAGAGCTATACAGCCTCAGTGGGGCCTTACCTGGTAAAAAATAAAAAATAAATTGTTTAGTTGAGTAGTCTTTTTTTAATTTCACAGGCGTATCGATCCTTGGCATACTACGCGTCGTCTCATGTCACAGTGGACGTTAAAGGTCACGTGGCGTCACTCAGAAATAATAATGAACAAAAAAAAACCCTGTTTAGATTCAGTTAATAGCTTTAAACTTGGACGCGTCTCTTGGTCACTGCAAACACAACTTCGCTCCCTCCTCTCGCCACGGGGCCTCTGGCCACGCGTTGCATTTACACGACAGCAGCAGCAGCGGCGATAACAGAGTCACCGCAGCCACTGCCACCGAGGTCTCGTGATTACTGAGAGCCGAGGTCAGGTCACGCCGAGCGCCAACCGAGCCCCGATGCCGCCACCACACGCTGAGTGCCGAGGTAGGGCCCCACGTGGTGGCCGCACGCGTCTCGGAATATTATCAGGATGTCGACATGCACTGGAGGAATCCGGGTGAGCGGTGAAGCTCTTTTGTTGTTATCCTTGGTTCTTTCGGTAAAGTCACGTAGAAGGGAAACAATAAAATGATAAAAATATATAAAACAATAAAATGATCACGACGTTTCGACTTCAACACAAGCAATCATCATCAGGTGTGAAAAGCACAAGAAGAAATTTGAAAAAAGTGGCGGCATTGTTGTTGTTGTTTTCACAGATGTCCAGTAGCGTGCTGGCAGCCACGTGTTCATTACATCGGCGCGCGTGGCACCGATATATTCCAGCAACCTCCCTCTCCATGGCTGGGGCCCTACGCCCAGCCAGGCCTCACACACGGCGACGGGACACGATTGCTCCTCCGGTTTATTGTTTACCTTCGGCCCACCAAGAATTCCGTGTGACTCCCGAACGGGTGCGACACCGATCATCGACCTCATTCACGCTCGCCATGGTGGCTTCTGCGGCGTGATTTTTTTTATTATCTACCCCCCCTCCCCCCTCTCCAAATCGTCTTATGGGGTTCTGTGAATTCCATCTTCCGTTTCGCATCCTTGCCTCTTTTCACAGTTCTCCTTCCACCCCGCACGTCGCTTGAGGTTTCAGATAATTTGCTCTCTGTCGCTCGCTTTATTACATACAACCCCAAACCCCACCACAACCACGGATTTCCATTTACTATTCACGATCAATTACAATATTTGCATAATTTAAAGTGTTGACAATCCAATTCGAGATTCAGCCGTAACGCATGACAACACACACACAGCACACGAAATGACAGAATCGTGAACTTATTAATAAATAAATAACCAATCTGATTTATAAGGCTCCATTCAACAACAGATATCGGAGCGCCGTCAGTGTAACGGAGCAAGTGAGAAGTGAGCGTGGAGAGATAGACTCGAGGCGGAGAGGGAGAGAGAGAGAGAAAGAGGGTGGCCGTGATACACAGCTGGTGGGGTTTACAGCGGGGACTTAGAAGTGTACATCGCCTGCGAGTTCCTGGGTAGTGGAGTGTGTGGCTGGGTAGTGGAGCGTGTGGATGGGTAGTGGAGTGTGTGGCTGGGTAGTGGAGTGTGTGGCTGGGTAGTGGAGTGTGTGGCTGGGTAGTGGAGTGTGTGGCTGGGTAGTGGAGTCTGTGGCTGGGTAGTGGAGTGTGTGACTGGATAGTGGAGGGTGTGGCTGGGTAGTGGAGTGTGTGGCTGGGTAGTGGAGCGTGTGGCTGGGTAGTAGAGTGTGTGGATGGGTAGTGGAGTGTGTGGCTGGGTAGTGGAGTGTGTGGATGGGTAGTGGAGTGTGTGGCTGGGTAGTGGAGTGTGTGGCTGGGTAGTGGAGTGTGTGGCTGGGTAATGGAGTGTGTGGCTGGGTAGTGGAGTGTGTGGCTGGGTAGTGGAGTGTGTGGCTGGGTAGTGGAGTGTGCAGCTGGGTATTAGAGTATGTGGATGGGTAGTGGAGTGTGTGGCTGGGTAGTGGAGTGTGTGGCTGGGTAGTGGAGTGTGTGGCTGGGTAGTGGAGTGTGTGGCTGGGTAGTGGAGTGTGTGGCTGGGTAGTGGAGTATGTGGCTGGGTAGTGGAGTGTGTGGCTGGGTAGTGGAGTGTGTGGCTGGGTAGTGGAGTGTGTGGATGGGTAGTGGAGTGTGTGGCTGGGTAGTGGAGTGTGTGGCTGGGTAGTGGAGTGTGTGGCTGGGTAGTGGAGTGTGTGGCTGGGTAGTGGAGTCTGTGGCTGGGTAGTGGAGTGTGTGACTGGATAGTGGAGGGTGTGGCTGGGTAGTGGAGTGTGTGGCTGGGTAGTGGAGCGTGTGGCTGGGTAGTAGAGTGTGTGGATGGGTAGTGGAGTGTGTGGCTGGGTAGTGGAGTGTGTGGATGGGTAGTGGAGTGTGTGGCTGGGTAGTGGAGTGTGTGGCTGGGTAGTGGAGTGTGTGGCTGGGTAATGGAGTGTGTGGCTGGGTAGTGGAGTGTGTGGCTGGGTAGTGGAGTGTGTGGCTGGGTAGTGGAGTGTGCAGCTGGGTATTAGAGTATGTGGATGGGTAGTGGAGTGTGTGGCTGGGTAGTGGAGTGTGTGGCTGGGTAGTGGAGTGTGTGGCTGGGTAGTGGAGTGTGTGGCTGGGTAGTGGAGTGTGTGGCTGGGTAGTGGAGTATGTGGCTGGGTAGTGGAGTGTGTGGCTGGGTAGTGGAGTGTGTGGCTGGGTAGTGGAGTGTGTGGATGGGTAGTGGAGTGTGTGGCTGGGTAGTGGAGTGTGTGGCTGGGTAGTGGAGTGTGTGGATGGGTATTAGAGTGTGTGGCTGGGTAGTGGAGTGTGTGGTTGGGTAGTGGAGTGTGTGGCTGGGTAGTGGAGTGTGTGGCTGGGTAGTGGAGTGTGTGGCTGGGTAGTGGAGTGTGTGGCTGGGCAGTGGAGTGTGTGGCTGTGTAGTGGAGTGTGTGGCTGGGTAGTGGAGTGTGTGGCTGGGTAGTGGAGTGTGTGGATGGGTAGTGGAGTGTGTGGCTGGGCAGTGGAGTGTGTGGATGGGTAGTGGAGTGTGTGGATGGGTAGTGGAGTGTGTGGCTGGGCAGTGGAGTGTGTGGATGGGTAGTGGAGTGTGTGGATGGGTAGTGGAGTGTGTGGCTGGGTAGTGGAGTGAGTGGCTGGGTAGTGGAGAGTGTGGCTGGGTAGTGGAGTGTGTGGCTGGGTAGTGGAGCGTGTGGCTGGGTAATGGAGTGTGTGGCTGGGTAGTGAAGTGTGTGGCTGGGTAGTGGAGTGTGTGGATGGGTAGTGGAGTGTGTGACTGGATAGTGGAGAGTGTGGCTGGGTAGTGGAGTGTGTGGCTGGGTAGTGGAGTTTGTGGCTGGGTAGTGGAGTGTGTGGCTGGGTAGTGGAGTATGTGGCTGGGTAGTGGAGTGTGTGACTGGATAGTGGAGAGTGTGGCTGGGTAGTGGAGTGTGTGGCTGGGTAGTGGAGTGTGTGGCTGGGTAGTGGAGTGTGTGGCTGGGTAGTGGAGTGTGTGGCTGGGTAGTGGCGTGGCTGGGTAGTGGAGTGTGTGGCTGGGTAGTGGAGTGTGTGGCTGGGTAGTGGAGTGTGTGGCTGGGCAGTGGAGTGTGTGGCTGGGTAGTGGAGTGTGTGGCTGGGTAGTGGAGTGTGTGGCTGGGTAGTGGAGTGTGTGGATGGGTAGTGGAGTGTGGCTGGGCAGTGGAGTGTGTGGATGGGTAGTGGGGTGTGTGGATGGGTAGTGGAGTGTGTGGCTGGGTAGTGGAGTGTGTGGCTGGGTAGTGGAGTGTGTGGCTGGGTAGTGGAGTGTGTGGCTGGGTAGTGGAGCGTGTGGCTGGGTAATGGAGTGTGTGGCTGGGTAGTGGAGTGTGTGGCTGGGTAGTGGAGTGTGTGGATGGGTAGTGGAGTGTGTGGCTGGGGAATGGAGTGCATGGTTGTAATAATAGAGTGTATGATTGGATCAACTAACTGCTGGATGTGTGGTGGAGCCAGGCCAATTTAACGCCTTGAAGACACGAAGGAGAATCTTAGTGGAGTGTGTGGCTATGCAGATTTATACAGCAACAGAACCCTGTCCATGCTTGGCGCTTGCTGAATCCAACAGTGCCCGTCGCAGTGTGAAAAACAAACGGGATCACCCTTCACTGGATGGCACAGCGTCAAAGAAGTCGGAACCAGTTGTTGGAACGAACATCGTTGACAGGTTTACTAAACTTTTTACAAAGACAGCGAACGCCTCAATCATGAGCGGGGGAGGGGGGGGGACTCTGCCTCAGTCATCCTTCTATTAAACAGCGGTGATAGAATGTCTTGAAGGGAGTTTCTGGGGGTTGCTGTGTCTGGGGGAGAGGGGTGTCTGGGGGGGGAGGGTGTGCGTGGGAAAGGGGCGTGTCTGGGGGGGAGGGTGTGCGTGGGAAAGGGACATGTCTGGGGGGGAGGGTGTGCGTGGGAAAGGGGCGTGTCTGGGGGAGGGTGTTCGTGGGAAAGGGGCGTGTCTTGGGGAGGGTGTTCGTGGGAAAGGGGCGTGTCTGGGGGGAGGGTGTGCGTGGGAAAGGGGCGTGTTTGGGGGGGGAGGGTGTTCGTGGGAAAGGGGCGTGTCTGGGGGGGAGGGTGTGCGTGGGAAAGGGGCGTGTATGGGGGAGGGTGTGCGTGGGACAGGGGCGTGTCTCGGGGAGAGTGTGCGTGGGAAAGGGGCGTGTCTCGGGGAAGGTGTGCGTGGGAAAGGGGCGTGTATGGGGGAGGGTGTTCGTGGGAAAGGGGCGTGTCTCGGGGAGAGTGTGCGTGGGAAAGGGGCGTGTCTCGGGGAGAGTGTTATGTGGCGGGGGGGGGGGGTAGTGCCGACCGGGGTGCCCCTCACCGGCCGGGGGTGTCGCCGTTCTCGTCGAACTGAATCTCCTCGCCCGTGACCCCAAAGAAGCGCGTGCGCATGAGGAAGGTGAGCAGCGTGCTGCCGTTGATGGGGCGCATCGCGGCGCACATCGAGCGCTGGCCCGGGCACAGCGCCTGCTGCATCTTGTGTAGGCCGTGAGCCATGGCGTAGATGGCATTCACCACGAAGGCCATCTTGCTGTCCTGCTCGTAGTGTTCCCGTAAACTCTCGTTCCCTGCCCGGCGGGCGACACGTGGATGGAGGAGGAGGAGGAGGAGGAGGGGGGGGGGGGGGCAAAAAGAAGAAAGCAAGAACAAAACAAAAACAAAAACAAAAAAAAACAAGAACCAAAACCAACCCCCCCGGCCCCCGGCCCCCGGCCCCCGCGAGAACGAAACGAAAACAGACGGGGGAAAGACAAAAAAAAACCCGTCAGTGATGGAAAAGATTCCAGATCAAGAATACCAACAAATAGACAGAGAAGACACTTGGCCCCCCTATAGTCTGTGAACAGAGTGTTGTGGGGCAAGGGAAACAACAACAACAACAACAACAACAAAACTGCATGGTTTTTTTTTTTTTAAAACGGAATTAAAGGACGTCCCGGGTCTGGACTGGGATTTGTTTTTAACGGAGAACGTTTAAACTTTGTCTCCGTCGAATTGAGTTCATAAGCCACGAAAGCCTCCGTGACTCGAGAAGATGCGGTGACTACAAACACATGGACGTGCCCACGGCGGGTGTAAATCTCTGTGTGCGAGCGCCTATTGCCCTGAACACACCCAGCCACCTTTGTCTCCCACACCCCCCCCAGTGCTGAGTGTAAGCGTGGCATTGCCAGGCACTCGTCTCGGTGCGTGGTTGCCACCTATCCTGGTTTGACCCGGTACAGTTCGCGAATCGACCTCATCCATGCTCAGGAGCCAGCAGCAGCAGCAGCAGGGATTGATGTGTGGGTGTTTTTTTTTTACTTTAATTCAGTAAACTGTGCAGTGTTGTTGTTCATCGACCCTGGTGCTGGCTGAGACGTATTTCCGCGTTTGGATCGTGGAATCGGTGGCGATCCTATTTAAAGGTCGAGTCAATCGAAGGGAAATTCAAAACCAGGCTCTGGATTTGTGCATCACTGCCTGGAGTCGAACATCGATCGCCGCAAAGGGGCCGTCCATAATTGACGTCACGCGATTTTGGAGGATTTTTGACCCCCCCCCCCTCGTCACACGGCGTCACAAAAAGTCAGACCCCCCCTCAAATATGACGTCACAAAGCTCTGCCCCCCCCCTCCCAAAACCATATTTCCATTTTGAAAATAAAACATGCTTCAAATCGCTTTAAACTACTGTATTATCATTTTTATTCTTGGTTCTTTTGGTAAAGTCACGTAGAAGGGAAACAATAAAATAAGAAAAACATAAAACAATAAAATGCTCACGACGTTTCGACTGCAACACAAGCAATCATCATCAGGTGATTGCTTGTCATCATCAGGTGATTGCTTGTGTTGCAGTCGAAACGTCGTGAGAATTTTATTGTTTTATATTTTTTTATCATTTTATTGTTTCCCTTCTACGTGACTTTACCGAAAGAACCAAGAATATGAATCCCTGCAGTCACGAAAGCTTTAAATCAAAATTTATTGTCATTTTATCGCGTATTTGATGTGGCCCTGCACTCTGATGTTGATGGAGAAAACATGTATTAAAGTCTATTTAATTAAGTAGAACGTGTTGTCTATATGTATTTAAAGTTGCGCATTTTGATATGACGTCACATTTCTCAACCCCCCCCCCCCCACATCCTCATCACACATTGTCACAAATGTCTGACCCCCCCACCCTAGGTGCGCGACGTCATTAATAGACGGCCCCAAATTCAAAACCAGACTTAGCAATGAAGTGGATTTGTGAATCACTGCGTGGAGTGGAACCTCGATCGCCACAAAGACAAATATCCCCCAGATGGCCTTCAACAGACTTTTGGGGCAGGTACTGTTTGCGAGCACAAATTAAGACCAGCAGGGTACACGAGGGGGTCGATGGCCAGCACCATGCCCTGCCGCCTTTGTCTCTCGAGTCGTGATGTTCACACAGCACACCAAGTAACTCATTTGAGTCTGAGTCGACCTAGGGGAGGCCCGGGACCGGTTACAGATAATCGTCACTGGGTGTTGGCCGTGAGCTGAAATCGAACTCGGGTCACAGGGATCATAGCGCGCTAACGCCATACGCCCCCCCTCCTACACACACACACACGCGTTGCTTTAACCTGCAATGCTTGCTTATGAAAAGCAAGATACAAAAGGGAGATGAAAAAAAAGCCATTGATTTTACATTTCTCAGCCGGAGAAAAATTGCACGCTGAATAATGGTTCATTTTTTCTTGTCTTGTTGGTCGTCGTCGAGTGGAGCAGCGAGCTTGGCATGGGTCCTGGGTGCCAACGAAAGACACGGCCCGGTCCAATCCACCCCCTCGTCGCCATAGCCTCGGGCCCCGAACGGCCTCGTGGGACCCGTGCCCCCCCCCCCCCCCCCCCCCCCCCCCCCCCACTGGTGCAGTCTTCACGATCCGCACCCTCGAGAGCAATGGCGCTGCGTCTCTGTCGGTTTCACAAGCGGCCTTTCGGAAACGTCACCGTGTTCGAATCGCAAACGTTGCTGTGGGTCTCCTCTGCAACACACTGGCGGTGTGCTGAACTAGGCACTAACTGGCACGCGATCGAACCCCAAAAAACACCCTTCATTATGGACTGGGTGTCTGTGTTAGTCTATGGCTCTCGATGTAAGTTTATGGGTCTCTATGTTAGTCTATGGCTCTCTATGTAAGTCTATGGGTCTCTATGTTAGTCTATGGCTCTCGATGTAAGTCTATGGGTCTCTATGCTAGTCTATGGCTCTCGATGTAAGTCTATGGGTCTTTATGTTAGTCTATGGCTCTCGATGTAAGTCTATGGGTCTCTATGTTAGTCTATGGCTCTCGATGTAAATCTATGGGTCTCTATGTTAGTCTATTTGTCTCTATGTTAGTCTATGGGTCTCTATGTTAGTCTATGGCTCTCTATGTTAGTCAATGGCTTGTCTGTGTACACGCCAATGTAACAATCACCTCGAATATATATTTTTCTGTTTCTTTAACTTCACTTTACAGTGCTGTGAATGTTTGTTTGTCCAATACACGTGATTTATCTGAACCACGTGATTTATCTGAGCCACGTGATTTATCTGAGCCAACTTTTTTTTGTCGCAGGCAATGTATTTACGCCAATATAATGCTCGTCGACTGTTTCATTGTCTATATTATTTGTTTCGCTCTGTAACGCAGGTGTGTGTTTTTGCTCCGAACTTTTATTTGCGTCAGTCATTGCAGTTTTTGGTCAACCAGGTCACTCTTTGCAAAAATGAGATCACTCTCCCCCCCCCCATACCCTCCTCTCCTCGTCTCTCGAGCTCTCACCCCTTGTCACACGCGCGCAGCAACAACAACAAGAACAAACAAACACGTGAAACGTGAGGCCGCTTAACCCGCTCGTTAGCCTTCGCTAAATGTGAAACGGGAACCCCAAATAGCTTCATTTCGTACAGCGGGCAACAGCGAGACACCATCAGCCTCTCCTGCACCAGTCAAATCGCACTAGCTAGGGAGACACAAACAATCACACGTCAAACGATTACGTTACTAATGTTGACGGTAATTATTGTCGACGCTGTGGTTAATGTAATTTGGTGATTTAATTTGACGGTAATTTGTTTAACAGCATCGATAGTTATTATCGGTTACGATCGACTTACCACCACCCCCGTAAGATTTTTCGTAACGTTAGGAATGTCCAACGTTTGTAACTTTTTTTTTCATTTACTCGGGAGTTACGAGAAAGTATTATCGAACGCCAAACGTTCAAACATCGCTGCGATGTCGTAACACATTCTGCACTCTGACCACAGGTTATCAGGTTCATCATGCAGGGTGCTAACCACTGCACCGCAGACTCCCCTTTGGATAGGCCGATGGCATCTGCTTATATAATTAGAGGCTAATCTATATGCATCGTTGTCGAGATAACTACTACGAAGCCGCTCAGCCAATTCCCCATGAATGATGAGCCATTCTAAAGCTTACGATGCGTATTTTTACGCAAAGCTGAAATCGTGAAAAAAGCATAACCCTTTTAGACGACTTGAATCTTAATGTAATTATCGCCAACTAAACACTTGCGATGACAAACGCGTGTTGGATTTACGTCATCCATGCATATGCATGATTTTTATTTCCCGTTTCTTATTTGTTTCGTTGTTTTATTTTTAAACACGGGTTCCAACTGATGTCGGGCAGCAGCGGCCCAGGATCCAACCTGGACACCTATCTAGAGATCACGAGATGACGGGATATCTGTCTCTCGGGGACAGAGGTAGTAGACAGAGAGTGTTGTAACCGCGGGAGGGGACAGTATACCAGTGGTATTCTCACGAAACCCATTGGAGTCTTTATCATCGAGGTCACGAGCCCTCCGCAATGACTAGAAAGACATAAGAGTTTTTTTTATTATCTTTATTTTTCTGGCTATCGCCTGATGATGCTCGTTGCAATTACTGGCCGAAACCTCACGGTACTCGAATTGCAAATGTTGCTGTGGGTTCACTCTCCCACACACACCCGGTGTGCTGAACGAGTAACTAATTAGCGCGTGTTGTTTACGTGACACAACCTCACTAATTGGCTGCGCCGGATGGTGGTGGCGGGTCTAACGACACATTTATATTTACGCGATCTAACCGAGAACACATTAAAAAAAAAACCTCTATTATGGATAACATTGGTCGCGAAAGACTCCTACTACCACGACCACTACGTGCTAAACTGAGCAGAAATACAAACATCGACGTAGCTACGGAAGGGTGGAATGGGATCGCTCCTTCCTTTGCTCAACGTGAAATCCGATCGGCTTCGACCTTGCAGGGAATCGTCAGCAACGCGCGGGCAGCCTCGGCAGCGTGCGGGTTGTTCTCTCTGCAGCGCTAGAGTTAACGGCTCTGCCGTGCAGCTCTCGATCTCGAGAGAGAGAGAGAGACAGGCAGGGAGAGAGAGTGAGTGAGAGAGACAGGCAGGGAGAGAGAGAGAGAGAAAGCGAGTGAGAGAGTGTGGGAGGAGAAAGATGATGGAGACGGGGGGAGTTTGCTCTTTGTAATTCCGGGCTCGTCCCGCGCCGCCCTCTATGCTCGTCGCGGCCGTGAAGGAGCGAAC